CAAACTCTTTCGCTGCAGCCGCCGCCGACACACCGCCGCCAACAGCCTCTTTTTTTTTTTTTTAAATAAACATGATCAGCAATGCCCTACCTGAGAGTTAGTTTAAGAATTAAATAAGAAAATGGGCTTGAACATGCCTGGCACCTAGAAAGTATTCAGTGGATAGAAATCTGTCTTGATCTACGTTTATCTTCCCTTTTTTCTAATTGCTTTTTTGTTCAATGTAAACTGCTCTCTAGGTCAATGCCTTGCTGCCCACGGAAACATTCATTCCCGTGATTAGAGGGCTGCTGGGCAACCCCCTGCCGTCTGTCCGCCGGAAAGCGATGGACCTTCTGAACAACAAGCTGCAGCAGAAAGCGTCCTGGAAGAAGAAAACCGTAAGTGACGGCGCGTCCCACCCACTCACCGCCCTGCGGTGTCCGAGCTGCCTGTACCTCCCTTACGGGTCTCATGGTACAGTCCACATACGTAGGTTGTTACCTGAATATACTGCCGTGGCACGCGTGTTTTCAAACAGGATATTAATTCTGTAGGAGTAGAGATATATGTCCGTGGAGCTCTTGGAATGAATTTCAACTCTAATAGAATTCTTGCTTGATGTGGACCCCACACTGGCTTTGGGACAATTCTCATCCACTCTCTTTGCAAACCAGGAGATGTTTCGTGTAAACTAGGAACTGTTCCAGCACACGCATTGCTCAGTAGCAGCGAGTCCATTGGCGGAGGTCACTGTGTGTGATCATGTGGCTCAGGCCTCTGTTGGGCAGTGTCAGCAGTAACCGTGGAAAGTAAACTGGCAGTGTCCTGGCAGCTTTAATTATTGGGGAACTTTGCTGTCCTCCTCAGGTTTACCACTTCCTCAGACTGGTTCCAGTCCTTCTAGCCATTGTGCAGCGTAGAAAAAAGGGGGCCGAAGAACAAGCGGTTAACAGACAGACAGCTCTGTACACCCTGAAGCTTCTATGCAAGAATTTTGGTGCGGAGAATCCAGAGCCTTTCATCCCGGTGCTGAACACGGCGGTGAGACTGGTCGCTCCGGAGAAGAAGGACGAGAAGAACGTGGTGGGCAGTGCCCTGCTGTGCGTAGCAGAGGCGGCCTCCACCCTGGGGCCCCTGGCTGTCCCACAGCTTCCCAGGTGCGCGGTGAGGCCCTGAGGGGGCTCAGCTGGTGGGAAGTGTCATCCCATACAGCGAAAGGTTACGGGTTCCATCCCGTTAGGGCACATATGGGAGGCAACTAATCAGTGTTTCTCTCTCACATTGATGGTTCTCTCTCTTTCCCTCGCACCCTCCCTCTCTCTCTCAAATCAATGAAAACATGTCCTCGGGTGAGGATTTTTAAAAATTAATTTGCTAAAGAATTGACCTTCAAGCTGAAAAGCACACCATTCTCACTTACCTTCATGGTGTTTCTTGTCCCCGTTTTCGATCCCCTCTGACCAGCTGTCATTAGGAAGCCACAGGTAAGGCAGACTGGCTGTCAGCCTGCAGGGCACTTGGCTTTGCTGCCTGTGATACCGAGACCGCACCCACCTGTGGGGTTCCGTGGGGCAGAGCATTGAAGGCTTTTTACACAGGGCCAGACACAAAGCAAGCGTTAAGTGGAAAGGCGTTATTTTTTAAATGAGCGCTGTCAATACTATAGGCACCGGGACACGTCTTGCTCTTTGTCACGGAAACTATGTAGACGATGTTTTGTGGGCTCTGACGTACACAGTGGGTAATGTGGGCACCAGTGTGGGATTTTTTTCATAATGACTTATCCTCCCTTCTCTACTGTTTCCGCTTAAAGTTAGTCTAAAACATGTTCTTTCTTTCTAGCCTGATGCCCTCATTGCTGACAACAATGAAGAACACCAGCGAGCTGGTCTCCGGCGACGTCTACCTGCTCAGCGCCTTAGCGGCCCTGCAGAAGGTGGTTGAGACTCTCCCCCACTTCCTCAGCCCCTACCTGGAAGGCGTCCTGGCACAGGTGAGCCCCGAGACCACAGGTGCTATGTGAGGTAGCAGGGGAAAAGGAAAATCACACACTTAATCATTTTGTTTGTTTCTAACTTCTGTTTGGCAGGAAGATTATTTCTGAAAAGAAGGGCTTTGGTATTCCTAAATGTGTGCCTTCTCTCCCATGTCATCGTGCCTCCTGCTTAGCCCTGACATTGAGAAGGTGTCATTTTGCCATGAGGCTGGTCTCTTGATTGGGCGGAATGTAGTTTATTGCT